AATTGAAAACATTGAGGGTGTAGCTCAGTACAAAGGCCCTGGGTTCAATCACCCTCTTCATTGCATGTGCACACACATATGCATGCACACATGCACATGCACACATACACACTCACACACACAGATTCTTGAATACCTACATCTGAGTACCAGAGATTTTTTCCTATTCCTTGCTTTTCCAGGTTGAAACCTTCAGCTACCTGTGGTCCCTTCCGAGGTCTGCCTTCCTTCATTCAATCCATCTACCTTTGGATTGACACCCTACGTAGAAGGCCTGGCTACATGTGGGTTGTCTGGATCTATCAGAACCTCATCGGCAGTGTGCACTTCTTTTTCATCCTCACCCTCATCGTGTTGTAAGTGAGACGCCTCAGGAAACTCACAGGGGAAAGCCCAGGGCTCTTGGGGAGATCCTCCGGTGATATGAGGGCAGAACTGGGGACATTTGGTTGGAAAGCTAAGGGCTACAACAGAGCTTTGTGTACAAGATGGTCCTGACTCAGCTGGGCGTGGTGTGCATGCCTGTAATCCCAGCATTTGGGAGGCCAGGGTGTGAGGATTACTGAGAGTTTAAGGACAATTTGATCAATATAGTGAGACTGTGACTAAAAAAAAAAAAAAAAAGAGAGAGAGAGAGAGATGGTCCTGACTTTCTTTGAATAGATTTTTAAAAGTTACTTAATATCTTCTGAGGTTTTTTTCATGATCTACAGAGAAAACAATACCTACTTTGCCCTTTTTAAGAGATGACATGAGAAAGCTGGGTGTGATGGCACATACGTGTAATCCCAGCATTCGGGAGGCTGAGGCAGGAGGACCGTTGTGAGTTTAAAGCCAGCCTGGACTACTAAGTGAGCTCAAGGCCAGCCTGAACTGCACAGCGAGAACCTGTCTCAGAGACCAAAAAAAAAAAAAAAAAAAAAAAAAAAAGCGATGACAGAGAATAAAATGAAAAAGAAACAGATATGACAATCCTTGGGAAAATTATATATATAATTTCCTTCTGAGACTGTGACATGTGAAAAGGATGTGGGCATTACCGATATAGAGGATTTTGTGCTTTTTTAAAAATGATCCATTTCCAGCCTCTTGAGAAAAAGTAGATTTTCAACACTGGGGCATTTTCCTGCATGAAACAGTTGGTTGGTGGTCTTATGGCAGTCCTTGTTGACACATTACCCCAGTGGCATTCAAGATGGCAGCTCCCCATACAGAGCCACACAGTCGGAAAGCACAGACTGTGGGAACTAACTGGTGTAGACTGTTGAGTAGTCCTTCCATGTGCAGACAAGTGATGACTTACAGAGATGGATGATGTGCAGAAACAGGTTTCGGGCTTCCAGTCCTGGTGGGGACAGAAAAGGGCAGAACCTGGGTCTCCTGGACCTCAGTTATATCCTCCCTCCACTACAACAGCTGCCACTGGCACTTAGAATGATGAGCTCTCCATAAAGCTCAGCTTTGCTTCTCCAGACTTCGAATTCACTAGGTCTGTTCTGTTTTCACGCACGCTTCTTTCACAGGCCAGGTTTTGTCTTCACACCAACCCTTTCTCCAGTTCTCCAGATATCAACTGGGTATCCTGAAGTTTAATTCAATTCTGGCACTCTACTTGCTGTCAGTGTCTGACCCCACAAGTTCAAGGCTCAATCCTGCTTCAGATGCTAGTCCCAAGTCCCGCACTGTCTCCTGTACTTCTGACTGCCTGGCTATGAATTTGAGGGTTCCCACAATCTCTTCTTCAGGTTGGATAATTTGCTACAATGACTCACAGAACTGAGGAAGGCGCTTTACTACTACCAGTTTGTTACAAAGAATATAACTCAGGAAAAGTCAAAGGGAAGAGATGCCTAGGGCAAGGTAGAAGGGAGGGGTGGTGTGGAGCTTCCATGCCCACTCCTAGGTAGGCACCATTGATCTAATCATTGGCTGTTGGGGTTTAACTCAATTCCCAGCTTTTACATCCTCCCCATGGTCACTAGAGGGCAGGGACTGAAAGGTCTACTCTTAGTCATGCTTTGGTTTTTCTGGTGACTGGCCCCATCCTAAAGCCATCTAGGGACTCCCAGACACTATATATCTCATTTCCATTTGAAAGACACTGTAAAGATCCCAAGAATTTAGGAGCTGTGTACCAGGAACTAGGGACAAAACACAAATACATTTCTTTATTATACTGGCAGCTTATTGGAAATGCAGAATCGCAGGCTCTACCCCAAAAGTATCAAATCAGAATATGCTTTTCAACAAATTCTCAAGGAATGTGTGCCACTCACTGGAAGCCTTTTTTTGTGTGTGTGATAGAGTAGTTCAGGCTGGCCTCGAACTCACTATGTAGCCCAGGCTGGCACTCTACTTGCTGTCAGTGCAATGAACATGCAGCGATCTTCCTGCTGCAGCCTCCGGAGTGCTGGGATTGCGTGTGCACCACCACAGCCGGTGCCACTTGAAGTTTGGATGGCTCTGTTCACATTCACAACGTTAGCTGCATATTAGGATCATGTACATTTTTAAAATGCTGATATCTGGCTCCATGTCCCAAGATAGGCATTTCACTGATCTGAGGAGCGGTCTTATTTCATTCACCTCTCAGGTGATTCCATGTGCATGTTGAGAGCCATTACTCTAACCTGCAACTCACCCTGAAACAATTTTTCAGGGACACGTGGGAAAAAACGTAATTGCCCCCACCAAAAAAAATCCAGTTCTTTTGCACCTCAGTTAAAATTTGGACCCTCAAAAAAAAATAAATAAATAAAATAAAATAAAATTTGGACCCTCAAAGCATTGGGAGAAATGTCTGTTATTCTTCCTTTTCTTCCAGAATCATCACCTATCTTTACTGGCAGATCACAGAGGGAAGGAAGGTGATGATCAGACTGCTCCATGAACAGATCATCAATGTAAGTCCTGCTGGCCCCTCTGTTACCCTCCTCCTCCTTCCTAACACTTTGTAATGGAAATTCCCAAGACACCAAAATAGAATGGCACAGTGAATTCCCATGCTAGTAGTGCCTGGGCTGGGTGTTCTTCCACCCAGCCCCAGTAACCACTGACATTTATGTTCTCTTACTTCTTCTACTGTTTCCTCTCTGAAGATCTCTATTATAAATTATTTTCTTTTATTTTCCCCCCACGCCCCATTATTTTAAAGAACATCTTAGGTTTTGGTTTTTTTTAATCAGTAAAAGCTTTATTTTTGGTAAAGACTGCTTTATTGGTGACAGTACAAGACAATAAATACTGATGTCCAAAGAAGAGCACAGTTACTTATCAGATTACCAGTCTACAGAGCTGACTGGAACTGGGCCATGTGATTGCTAGGATGACTGAACTCCTCTGGCTTCTTGGGAAATGACCATAGCCAACTGTTATATAGCTTATGTGGTTCTACCAACTGTAAGAATCACGGTAGTTCTATACAAGAGGGCGTCAGCTATCCCACCCTTTAGATGCATTGGAACTCCTTTGTCTTCCCAAAATAGCTTCTGTTTCTGTGGAACTTTATTATCCAAATGCCTGGGTGAAGCAGTGCTGAGGGTCCTCTGGGCAGTCTGTCAAGAGCCAAAAGTTTCCGCAGCATCTTCCCCCATTACTCCCCACCACTCTGATGAAAGCCACCCCAGGCACCAGAATCAGAACCGGGAGCAGAGCGAGCTCCTGAGTAAAATCTTTTGCATGCATCTCTATGAGATAGAGACTTAACATATAGTCACAATACCATCTCAGTTTTAAAAGAAAACTTACTGAGAATTTACTACTATCACCTGACCCAGTCAATGTTCAGATTTCTCCAGTTGTCCCAATAAGCATCTTTTTCCAGAAGAGTTGTTCAAACTAGTGTCTGAAAAAGGACCCCATATTGCTTTTCATTGTTATGCCTAATTTTCTTTTAATTTATAACCATTCACCACCCCTCACTTTTTCTTGCCTTCTTACTAGGGAAGAATCCAGATCTTACGTTCTCTGTGTTCCATAGGTACTTGATCTGCAACCCTTTGGTGCTGGTTCCTGTATTTCTTTTTTTCTTTGTATGTCCTATAAATTGGTGGTGAAATCTAAAGATTTGATAGATCCATAATCAACTGTTTAGGCAAAATACAGATGCTCCTTGACTTACAGTGGGGACATGCCCCACAAACTCACTGTAAATTGAGAATGTTCAAAGTGGAAAATGCATTTAAGACACGCAACCTAAAGAACATCTTAGCTTAGCAACACCATTTGCTGTAGAATACCTGTTATTTATTGTGACCATGAGCTGCAGCTTGACCTGACCATGAGGAGTGGCTTGTTACCGCCACTCAGCATCCCGATAGAGTATGTGGTTGCTATCATTAGCCTGAGAAAAGCTCAAAATTCAAAAATTAAAGTTTAGCATCTACCAAATTTGTATGACTTTCACTCTATCATAAAGCCAGAAAACCTCAAGTCAAACTGTCCTGAGTCAGGGACCATTGTACTTCAGGTACAATGATGCTGTGCTGCTCTTCACACAGGTGACACTACGCCTCTGTTCAGCATCACCTTGAGATGTGCGATGTCTCTTCTTCTGTGATGCTGACAGCAGTCAGTGGTTCCAAGGTCTGTTGGCCCAATCCATCCATCACAAAGCTTTCCTCAACCTTTCACCTATGGACTGGCAGCCTTCCATGGGTAGTGCCTGGAAGATCTGTTCATTTCATTGGATATTACAAAATAATGCTACTCTAATTTTGTCATTCTTCCTGCATTTATTAACTGGAATTCTATATTAAAAATAACTTTGGACCATCGATTATCTGAATACCTTGAAAGGCATACAGGACAGATGAAAGGCAGGATATGTACAAAATGCTTTCCCTTTACTGACATTTTCAAAATGTTTCCATTTGCTAGAGCTGTAACACTTGCTATAAACTTGGTGGCTGAAAGCAATAGAAATTTATTATTTCATATATCTGGAGGCCAGAATCAAGGTGTTGGCTGGGATAGTTCCTTCTGAGCCTCTGAAGGAGAGCCTCTGTCCTAGCTTCTGGCCACTGCTGATGATCCTTGGTGTTCCTTGCCTGGAGGTTTCATAACTTTGTTCTCTGCATCTATCTTTTTTTTTTTTTTTTTTTTTTTTTGTCTTTTTGAGACATGGTCTTGTTGTGCAATTCAGGCTGGCCTTGAACTCACTTTGTAGCCTAGGCTGGTCTCGAATTCGCAAATGATCCTCCTGCCTCAGCCTCCTGAGTGCTGGGATTACAAATGTGTACCACCACACCTGGCCTTTTGCTTCTAGCTTCACAAGGGCTTTTTCTCTTTCTCTTTTTCCATGTCTTCTAGGACTTGTCATTGGATTTAGGGTCCACTTTAATTCAGGATGATCTCATCTCAAGATCCTTAATTTAATTTTATCTACTAAAACTCTATTTCCAAATAAGGTTATATTGCAGGTCTTTAGGTTTGGACTTGGACATATCTTTTTAAAAGGGGGATACCATTCAACCTTCTACACCTCCAAATATAGCCAACAAAGATTTAAAAATTAACATTATGAATGTATTGTTTAAATTATGTTAATACTTCTCAATTACAACTTTTATGCTCAAATAGTCTTTTCATGTGCTAGTGCAAACACTTTGATTAACTTCTAGGTTCTTTGTCCATTACCTCAGAAATCTTTAAGGACAAAATGTTGCAGGCTCATCTTTGTTCCTTTCCTGTTCCAGAATAGAATCAGTCCCTGAGATGATATTTAGAGACCACAGTCAAGGTACAGGGATGTTCACTGCCCCTGGGCTTGTTCCCTTGTTTTCTAGATAACAACATAACTGTGACATGTGTGCCTGTGTCAAGAACAATGGGAAAGATCTGGGACTTCCCAGTGTTGCATCTGATTGAATCTTTGGGATTTTAGATCATTTCAACTGGTCCTTTTGGAACATAAAAGGCCTGGATTAGTTATGGTTTTTTCCCTCATTGTCCCCAGTAGCATCACCAATGTTTGCCTGATGCAGAGTTCTGAATGTTTTGGGCAGGTCTTATGCAGACCTCAGCTCAGGAGGGATATGATTCTGAAGCCTTGAGTTGTAAGGGCATTGCTGGGTCAACTAGGGAAATACCTGTATGCCATAATCTGAAGACCACACCTGCCTGCTTGGGAGTCTTTCCCAGAGAATGAACCACAAGGGCAGGGGCATTATCTCCAAAAGAACCCAGGACAGAGACTTGGAATAGGAATGACCACTGACCTTAAAATCATCTGGATGGCCACAGATATAGCTTAGTGGCACAAGCACCTGCCTGGCAAGCACAAGGTCCTGAGTTCGATTGCTGGTACAAAACAGAAAACAAAAAACAAACAAAAAAAAAACTGGATGTTTGTTACAAATACAAGTTGCTGCTCTCTTGCTACCCCCAAGCAATAACAGCAACAGGTAACATTTGCTAAACATTTCCATGAGGCCTGGCATTGTGCTAAGTAATGAACAAAAATTCTTATTTAATTCTAACTCCTAGCCAGGTGTGGTGGTGGTGCATGCCTGTATCTCAGCACTTTGAGAGACTTGGGCAGGAGAATTGCAAGTTCATGACCAGCCTGGACAATTTGATGAGACTCTGTCTCAAAATAAAAAATAAAAAAAGGGCTGGAGAGGTATCTCAGTGCGAAGACCCTGGATTCAATCTCTACTATTGCAAGCATCAATAAATACTTTCTTAAGGGCTAGGGATTTAGCTCAGAAGCACAGCGCCTGCCTGGCAAGCGCAAGGTCGTGAGTTCGGTTCCTGGTACCGGAAGAAAAACAAAAAAAAAAAAAACAAAAAATACTTTCTTTGGGGCATATAAATGTCTTCAAATTCTCCTTTTACAGTTAAGGAAACTGAGACCTACAGAGTAAAGTGATGTACCCTAAATCACAGCACTAGTAAATTGTGAACCAGGAGATTCCAAAGTTTGTGTTCTTAACTACAATGCAGTTTTGTTTCTGAGTAAAAATCTGTGGGGAGAAAGCCTAGGAGTTTTGCATTTTTACATACCCACTAGGTAATTCTAATTTACACTCCCCTCCTGTAGAGATTTCCAAACTTTGTTTTCTTTTGTTTTTCAGTACTGAGTGGTCAAACCCAGGGTCTCTGCACTGATTTGCATCCCGGGCTTTTTGGTTTTGTTTTTGTTTTGTTTTGAGACAGGACCTTACTAAGGTGGCAAGGTTGGGCTCAAACTTATGATCCTCCTGCCGAAACCTGTGAGAGTATTGGGATCATAGATGTGCACCACCATATCCTATGGGAATTGTGAAAAATATCTATTGTCAAGGACAGCTCTTCCTTATAGAATTCTGATGAATAAATGTAGATGGAATGAGGGAGGCAGAAAATCATTTTTAAAAAAACTGCACAGTAATAATTGTGACAAGACCCACTATTGGATGCTAAAATTAATGGGTAAAAGTTTGAGGAGAAACGGAGGCTTGGGAATGGGATGACCATCATTGGCCTAGAGCTGATGGCGCTTGCTCACCCACTTCAATGCACAGGTGGAATGTCCTACTCTTTTCTGCTAGAGGTTCACAGGAAAGGGAGTACCCAGGGGAAGGCTGACTCCTTTCCTTGGTTCCTCTTTCCAATGCTAAATTATTAGTCTCCATCAACACAGATAATGTTGGCAAATGAAATCCATTTGCTGTCCTTAGGAGCCAAGCTCTAAGATCTGGCATTTAATAGGAGGACAGGACAGAGCCAGGCAATCCTAGGTTTGCAGGCCAGACACCTGGGGCAGGGAGCATGTCAGGAAGCGGGCACTGAAACCCTCTGTCCTAGGCCTTCAGTCAGTGGCTTGTAAGTTGCTTCTAGCAGCAGTCTAGAGAAGGTTACTCCTGCTTGAGGAGTCGCTTCAGAGAAGCCTATTACAATGCGCGAAGGTGCGGGGTAATTGCTAACTTTGCTGTTTTGTTTTGTTTTCCTTCTCTTTAATCAGTAGAAAATAGGACAGCAAACTCCATCCAACTTCTGGGTCCTTCTTTCTTCAATCACTTCTTAATCCTCCACCGTCATCCCTCCTTCATGTTTTTTTTCTTCTTGGCAGGAGGGCAAAGATAAGATGTTCCTGATAGAAAAGTTGACCAAGCTACAGGAGATGGAGAAGAGAGCAAACCCCAGTGCACTTATTCTGGAAAGGAGACAGGCAGAGGTGAGATAGACATCGTTCTCGGGACCCTAGGGATGCAGACTTGCCTTCTTGTGCGAAGTGCATCAGGGACTGGAAACCAGGCTTTTAGCATCACATATGGCCTTTCACTTTCTGTTGTTGCAGTGCTGGCGATGGAACCTGGGGCCTTGCACACACTAGGCAAGCACTCTTCCTCTGAGCTGCATCCCCTACCCATACAACCCATACATATCTATATTTGAGATAAGACTTGCTCTGTTGCCCAGGTCTCAAGTGACCCTGCCTCAGCCTCTTGACTACAGGCACGCACCCAGCTCTTTACTTTGTATGTGTAAGCACTGTGGTTCCTAAAAATTAAATAATAATCGTTCGCTTAGCACTCTCCATGGTTGGCCTTTTCCTAGGTGCTAGGTTATTATGAACAAAGCAAAGCCCCGGTCCTCATGGAGATCACATTCGTTTTATATAACCTACTAAAATATACAAGTGCATCCCAGTGAGATGAAAATTTCCCTGAAATCTCAGCCCACTATTCATAATTCAGTGTATATTCTTCCAGATCTCTCTCCCAGGTATGAGCAAACACACCTGCATCTACTAACATTTTCATTTATTACAAAAGGGGGACTACAGTTATGTAAGTAGTATCACCCCTACACACACACACACACACACACACACACACACACTTAACACTTTTTCATTGGACATATTTTTTCATTCCAGACATTTGTGCTGTTTCCGGGTTTTTCAAGTACTAAAAACAGTAAACAGGGGCTGGGGATTTAGCTCAGCGGCACAGCGCCTGCCTGGCAAGCGCAAGGTTGTGAGTTTGATTCCCGGTACCAGAAAAAACAAAACAAACAAAAAACACTAAACATTGAAGCATTTTTGTTATAATTATTATTGCAGTGTTGTGGATGAACACAGAGTATTGTCTACGCTAAGCAAACACTTTACCACTGAGCTATATTCCTAGCCCTTTTGTTATTTTGTATTTCTGACCCACGTGCATGTACCCCTAATTTTAAAATAATGGGAGGTTTACAAACTGCACCACCCATGCAACAAGACCCAGGACCTGCATTCTTTCCCAGTGATGTGGCTGCCCATTTTCCTTTTACAGTTACAAGGCCCACTACATCTGATGGAACATGATGCTACTCCTGGTAAGTACCAAACTCACAGAGTAAGACACTGCTGTGTTTCCCTGAAACTACGACTGAGTCTTATACTGAAAAGGGCTCATATCCAAGGAGGGGTCTTATTTTTTCATGTATCTATTTGTATTTATTCAGGCACAACAATTAACATTTACTTATTTCTGTATAAAACCCACATTTATTCAAATACATAGTCATGTCATCTTATTCTGGAACAGTGTCGTAACTCGCCAAATCCCAAATTGTGACCTGAATTTCTTGCATCTCAACTTCCTTTAAAAACATCAGCCCCAATCTCTCACGTCCAGCAACGGAGCTGTCCTTAAGTGAGCACTCCCCGTCCGTGCAGGCTGCTCTGAGTGCATCGTTACGACACACAACATGTTGAACTACGAAGACTGTCAGACACAACCACATCCATTCTTCATCAAATGTGCACATTATTTGTGTGTTGTCTGCACTCTGATTGGTCATTCAGAAATAAGTCTTTAGACATTTACCTCTCATCTAGAGGTGTCTGTTTGGGTATTTACAAATAATTATAATTTATATTACCATTTGTCATAATGTCAATTTTATATTATGTATTATAATTCTCTGTATCTATCGTGTTTCAACAGACACATTAAATGTGTCTGCCTAACTAATGATCTTAAGTGGGGTTGATGTGGGGAGAAAGCTTATATTATTAGCAACTTGGAAAAAAAATTAAAATACTAGCACTTATTTTCCTATTAGGTCTTATTTTTGGGGAAATGTAATTTATCCTGGTGGAATAGCCCAAAGCAGACAGGGTTAGAACTGCTGGTGTAACAACTGCTCTTTCAATTCCAAACCTGACCTAAAACGGCCTAAGTAAAAATCCAAGAATGATTCTTGCATTAGGACTGACTTAAGGCAGGTCACAATGTCACCAGGACCTTGTTTCTCTGTTCAATTCTTTTCCATATTAGTTCCTTCTGCAAACAGGTCTTTCCTTTCCTTGGCAAAACAGCTTTACAGTTCTCCTATCTTCTCAGGTTCAACCTAGTAGAAAAGTAGGGCAGCTGAATTTCCAGTGTTTCACTGGATCGGATGGGGGAAGGTGCCCATCCATGGACCAATTGCTATGGCTACAGAAATGTGTCCACTTCCTTGGTCATATCTGAATCCCGTGTCTCAGCTGTAGGTGTAGGTAGTGACACCTTACGGCCCACAGAGATGAACAGTAAAGGTGGATTCCCAAGGATAACCCGGGGCTGATGCCAGGAGAGGAATGAATGCCAGGGAGGAAACAAATCAAACCACTAGTCTTCGGGGAACAGCACTTACTAATGACATCCAGTGATGGGAGTTGAGGGCAAAGGCGGCGTGAGAAGCTACAGACCTTTAAGGCCTAGTCTTCCCCTTCTGGAGATGGGGCAATGTGTGTCTGTATTAACGTCTCTTTCCTATGTCAAACCCAGACCTGCGACTTAGGCGATCAGTTCAGGAAGATCCTTTAAAGGTCTGATGACTGCCGCGGAACCCAGATACCAACCCAGTACGGAAAGAAGATAAAAATGGGACAAATTCTTCCAGGACACCTCGGCCTTTAGGAGCTTCTTGGAAAGAGAATCCAAGCCTGTAGCTGGAAGCAGGAAACTAACCTACCATGTCAATGCTGAAGTAAAACTGGGCACATTGTTATCTTTCAAACCTAGGTTGCTGATTTTTCAAGACCACATACTTGGTTTTTTTCTAGTAAAGACTATTGAAATACTGAAATTAGCCCAGAAGATGTAGGAAGATATAATCTGAGGATGATGTACTTTATCTTCAAGAAATGTGTCTCTGAATTATTCGTCTTTAGGAATCTCTCCTCCTAGACCTGGTAAAGGTTTTTAGAAACTGGTGCTGTGAAAAGTTGTCCAGAATGAATAAAAATATGATCTTTAATCAGGCACACAAGTCCTTTGAATTATATAACTTCCATTTGTCTGTGACATTGAACTAAAAATATCTCCACATCACCCAAAGATGAAATAGAATCAGAGGTCTTGTCTGTTTATTACATATTAAGTACAGGAGTCTTTGGGGTTAGACGAGGGTGGGACTCTGCCCCTATGAAATTTTATACATAACCATTAACAAGGTCTTACGCTGAACCAAACATGAAGCTGTGGTGACATGTGGATGTATGTGTGCATTTGAAATGAATGTGTGTATAACTTTTTGCAGAGTTGTCAAATGATTCACAAAGCTTACAACTGTGTTAAAACTCATAGGCCACTAATATTTTTAGCCCTGTAGAAGGCCTTTCAAGGAAGTGCTTTATAGTACTTATCAAAGTCCTTATCTGGGCCTAGTTGAGTCAAGGGCAAGGCACGCTTGGGGTGGAGCTCAGCAGGCAGAGAATGCCTGGCTCTCCAGAGCCTTCTCTCAACAGAAAAGCTCTTACTAACTCTGTGATGTCTCCAAGGCCACCCTGGGCTGTAAAGTGCTGTGCAGTCTCAGGAAGGACCCAGGGAAGAATTAAGTTGCCAGACGTTTTCCTTGGTTACTTTTTCCTTCTTTTTGTCACTTTAGTCATAATATGGCATAGAAGTACATGCATGGACATTTGTTCCACTTACTTAATATATTTAATTTTATAATTGAAGGAAAATCCTTTAGTGGCTAGGATTGCAGCTCATAGTGATAGAGCATGTTGCTTAGAATAAGCAAGGCTCTGGGTTCAATACCAAGCACCAAAAGACAGACAAGAACATTTCCTTATAAACACTGATTTAAAAATCTCCTCCCCCCAAAAAATATCCCAAGTTCTATCTATCATACTTCAACACCTACAGTAATAAAAATCAGCATGTGTGTCTGGTCATATGGAGTGGTCTTCCAAAGCTCCCCCTGCCTGGCTGATACAGGGCTGAGCTGATGAGCCATCTGAGGGAAGCCAGGGCTAAGTGTGGGCCGTAGCAAAGGCCACCAACAGGGCTAAAAGGTAGGATGGGGCTAACTAGAGGAGGCAGACAGATTTGCCATTTTTAAATTACACAATTTCATTTTAAACACGGCTACTTAAGGTCATGATAAGAGCCCTGGAAGTTCATGTGGGAAAGAATACAGAGATACAGTGCGTGGTAAAGAACAGTAGCTCTGAGTTGGGCCCAGGTAGACTGGAGCTCCAATTGTATATGGACTCTGAGACCTCAGGGAAGTGACTTCAATTTTGCAGAGCCTCAGTTTCCTCATGTTGAGTAAGATCATGCTAAACCCTTGTACAGTTCCTGGGTTACAGCAAACAAGTTGTTATTATGAGATCAAGCCCGGCTACTTCACCACTTCTGAGGTTTTGGAGGCCACTGCTCTTCATCCACAAATTCTAGTAGTCTCAGCTCTAAAATGAGGATAAACTGAGAAGTTCTTGGAAGTTTCTCCCAGCTCTAATTATATGCGACTGCTGTGAAGCTTCCTAATAAACCTGAAGTGCAATTCTGCCCCCGGGTGGTTTGTGGCTCTTACTTCAAGACATAGTAAATAATCCCTCCACTTGGTTTCAACACCTCCCTCCCTCTGTGGTTGCTGCTCACCAAGACTTCACTGCATAGCACAGTGCACCTTCCTAAATTTAGGGAGCTGTAGGGAGGATGCGTGTTTGGTATGCATTTTCCTTTCTCGCTCCTTTTAATGATTTTATTAGTGTGGTCACAAGTTTGACATCTACAGTACACTGTTAACAGAGCTGAACACAAATTCTTACATAAGTACATTGCTTAAGTATGGTACGTGTTAAAATGTCAACTCCAAATGGTCATGCAAGTCCCATGCATTTGCATCTGTATCCTCCACCTGCACAGCTCACTCTGCTTTCCCCACTGGTCTCGCTGTCGCTGGGCTGCGTCAGTGGGAGCTGGTGTGCCTTTGTTCAGACCCAGATTTTTCAAGAGCAACACTGATGAATGCAGGCATTCTATGGAGCCTGGCAGCAACACCTGCTTTTGGTTTATTCAGATAAGAATGCAATTACTGGCTACTGCTTGTGAGCCGCTGACCCCTCCAGGCTGGACTAGCACAAAGGGTACTTTGATATCCCTGCATGAGGCCACCTGCGGTTTCTGAACCTGTGTTTCCTCCCCAGGGCAAAAGTCTAGAAATGAGGTTCACAGTCCTCCAACATGCTGTCTGTGATGTAACTGGAACCAAGATGGGATTCATAGTAACTTTTCTCATCAAAGGTATTGACGGTCCAACCAACAACGTGGACTCCTTTAGCTGACCACTTCTTCAGATAGTCCCTGGAGAAAAGGAAAAACCACTCCTATTAGAATAGTGACCAGCTGTCCCCGGCATCTGCAATGGTTGCTGGGTATGAGTTGCTGGGTACGGTGCTCAGAGTGGCCCCGTGCTGCAGTCCAGAGGTATGCTCCAAGCCCAGCTGCCAGGAGTCCTTCCTTCCTGTTGTCTCAGCTTCAAACATTTCAGCAGCTCACTATGACCAACCCCTCCTAGTGTCCTAGACATGCACTGCACTGTGCTTGGGCCCTGCCCGTCTTCTGTGGCCTTGTCTCACATCATCCTACCCCTTGTCGGTGTTACAGAACACTGATTCTCCTTCAATTCCTTGTGAGAACTGTTCCCCTTTGGCCATAGCACTTTGCTGGTGCTTCTCCCTCCCTGCTGCCCATACCCTTTGTATCTGAGCTGCCTGAAGCCACATCCAGAGTTAAGAGTTTGCTCTCTTACCTTTCCCATTCTCAGCTCATGAGATAACTTTGTTTTCTTCCTCCACCTGCTCCATACCTTAATGGCTAACTGTAGTAGTAGTTACAATGCACTGCTCTTTTTCCTGTGCCCTTCTCATTCCCAGGATATAGGAAGGGCCATGATTAAAAGGTAGTTATTGCTGGGCATGGTGGCACATGCCTCTACATCCCAACACTCTGGGAGGCAGAGGCAACAAAGTTGCAAGCTCCAGCTCAGCCTGGGTAACTCAGTGATTTGGCAAGACACTGTCTCAAAAAAAAAAGGATGGGGGCGTGAGAATATAGCTTACTAAATGTACAGGAACTGAGAAAAAGAAGGTAGTGGCACAGTCGGAAACCTCAGCACACTGGGAGGCGGAGACAGGAGAATTACAAGTTCCAGGCAGTTTAGGAAGATGCCATTTCAAGAAAGAGAAAAAAAAATACCTGGGCATGTAGCTCAGTGCAAAAGCTGGGCTACAAAGTGAGCTCAAGGCCAGCCTGAACTGCATAGCTAGACCCTATCTCAAAAAGACAAAAAAAACAAAAAACAAAAACAAAAGCCCTGAGTTCACTTCCCAGGGGAGGGGGAGATAAACTGGCTGGAAACCAGAAACCAGACAAACTTTCAAATAGCAAGCCTCTAAACAATCCTCTTGGGCAAACCATTGGGACCCCTCCTATCTCTCAGGAACTATTCCTATTCCCTATTCCTTTTCCCCAATAAATTTTCCTACTCTTAACCTCCGTTGTTCCTTAGAATTCATTCTTTGACTTTGGGAAACACAAACTCAGTGTATCTGACATGTAGCATTTCCCCAATATCATCTTGGAGGTCCCACTGAGATAACTGGAAGGAGGTAGGGAGCTTGCTTTTCACAGATTCTGGATTGTGACTCGCTTAGGTAATCAAAAACTGTTACCTTTGTTTTTTATTGCTTATGCCTTGAATTGTATGCCTTGTCTTTGTCAATTGCTAATGTCTTGTCTCTTTTACGCCCTGTCCTTTATTAAAAATGATGATAAATTTAAGTTGAAAGCATGGGAAGATTATACAGGCAAGGTCTTATATTCCTGTTTTGTACATGCTACATTTGGCTTACTAGTTTCTAGATTTCCTTGTGACTGTTGTGGTTTCTTATCTTAAACAGCACTAGGAAAGTAGTGTTAGATTGCCCACTAGTGGATTTTAATAAAAAATACTACAAAATGGGCCTTTTTATGGAAATCTAGTTTCTATTTAGAAAATAACATGCCTATTAATAAATCACAGGACCCCAATTGCCAGTTAAAAGTCAGTAGGCTGGCAACTGTTCTTAAGACTTGGGGGACAGGTTTCACTGAGACAAACTGGCTCTAATTGCCCCTCTCTACCCAAGAGAGAATGTTGAACCTGTTTTGTATCAGTCTCCTTTCTGGTCTGATATTCCACTGGTAAAGAGGCAATCTTAGCTCTTGAGTTCCCTCTTCTTTCCTTTCCAGGCTCAGAGTGGTGACTCAGGCAAGCCATCTCAATAACTCACCATGCAGATGAGAAGAAAAGACTTCCTTTTTCTAATCTCATTTCTGATTTTTTCCTGCCACTTTGTACTGTTTTGGAGGCATGTAAGATTGGACAGGGAGGACCTATCCAAGAACTAAGAACCTTTAAGATGAACCTGGAGAAAATGAGTGTTTGTTAAAACTGAATCAGGGAAGTCATCTTAGATGAAGAGAGCTCAGGCTTTTATTTGTCCCTTATAGAACTTTAATAAACTCTGCCAGCTAGTTAAATGCTCTTAGAACAGCTGCCACTCTTAAAGCAGAGGACAGGTTCCCCAGCATCTTCTGTTCTAAGACCTACTGAAAGTAATGGACAGACAGATAGCTGGACTCCTTTCCAGAAACAAAACTCTGGTTGCATGGAACCAATGAAAGCTGAGAGGACAACTGAAGGGTCATGGCCAGGGTGACTCTGGTGGATACCCAAATGTTCCTCAGTGGAAGCTGGGCCCAAACAGCCCAATTGGGTAACGGGTAGAAAAAGTCTCCATTTATCTATTGTCCCTACCTGCACTCCTCAGTGAGATGACAGGTAACTCTCAGCAATCTTCTGGTATCCTCTCAGGAGTGACCAGAGACAACACTGTTAGAATCCTCTCTTAAGCCTCTATTAGAAGTTGAGTTACGGGTTTGGATTTTTCTGTCTACTAGCAAATTGGAAACTCCCCCTAAGTTTTTCTCCAACTTGCTGAGTCACTTTAGAACCACCTTGTAGCTGGGCTGCCCCTTCCTCCAGGAGGTCAGTCTGAGGCAGCTTGCAACAACTGTTTGCCTTTCACTGAGAGCAGCTATCAGAGAAGTGATTTAAGCTTGTGCCTTACATATGCTAACTAGGGTTTTATTCAGCCCTTCTCTTCTTTTATGTGGATGTAGAAAACTATAAATGTTCCTTTTACTAACATGTGAATTGTGGTTGCTAGGAAATGGATACAAGTTTAACCTGTAAGCTTTTTTTCTTTTTTTTGGTTTTTTGGAGACAGGGTCTTGCTATGCAGTTCAGGCTGGCCTTCAGCTCACTTTGTAGCCCAGGCTGGCCTTGAACTCACAAGGATCCTCCTGCCTCAGCCTCCTGAGTGCTGGCATTACAGGCGTGTGCCACCACGCCAGGCTCTAACTTGTGAGTTTTAAAGACATAAAAATTTTAGAGTGGATTTTGAGTAAAATTTAGCCTTGTCTTGCCACTAAGAAAGATTACCTAGGTTAGATTAGCTAGATAACTTGGCTCTATCTATTTCTAGGGGGGATTTCTTTTGCAGGCTAAGATGTGATCCAGTCACTTTGAATTTGCCCTTTGATATTTTCCTCACATCTCTTTCAGAAAACTGAAAAGCAGTGGTTTAGATATCTTGGTTATTGGTTTTACTAGCAATGCTTCCTTCTTGGAACACAACTGTTATAGCTGAAATCAATGGTAGCTTTCACTTTTGGAAACACCTGCTAGGATTAGGAGTGTGAGTTTCCAAGGAATATAGGGTCACAAGCCAGTAAAAGGTGGCTAGTCTGACCTGACCTATCTTGGTCTTTCTCCAGACAGCAGCCACCTGCTCTGGAGGTCACCTTGGGGATGCCTTGAGGATACAAAAATCAAGTAGGAATTAAAGGGACACCAATTCTTTTTCTTGTATTTCAGATGAGAGATTCAATCTCTTACTCCTTTGGAAGGTATTTGTAAGCAATGGAGAGTGTTCGACCCTTACATATTGAAAAAGAGCTGTTTAATATTTTTCTGCACTCAAGTTTGGCTGGTGCGACTCCCCCTCCTGGAAATAGTTAAAATTACCTTTAACGTTTTGTCCCTTTGGAGGGAACAGTTACATGCGGCTATCAAAACAGCAGTTTTGGCTATCAGCTGTGACTATAAAACAACTATGGCTATAAAGCAACAATGAGAAACCTGTATAGCTGGGTATTCTGATCAGATAAACTGTCAGCCTAGAGCCCATTTTAAAAACTGTCTTTGCTTTCACAAGTATAAAAGATTTTTATTCCTTCTAATTCTTATTACAAGAGATGTCTGTTTATTGACCTATAAAAAGTTCTGACTAGTGTACTTATAATTACAAACTTAAAAACTTAAAAGCGTTATTTTAATTCAACTTGGCCAAATACATCTGAGTGTACTCTGGTCTATTAACAACTGTCCTATGTGTGCCTCTCTGTTCAATTTGTGACTGGTTGCAACATCTACAGTTAGTTTGAGCTCAACAATTTTTATTGCTTCTTTAGATTTTTAAAATATTTATGCCTACAATTTAAGTTGCCTTATCTGTAAGGCAACTTAAGTGTCATTACAGTTAAAGACATGCTTCTACCCAGGTTGCCAGCTGACCAAAATAATGTCAAGACTCGTTTTACAAAGGCAATGCATATTGTTGTGTATACAATAACCTGGGGAGTCTTTCATTAGTCAAGAACAGTACATTAATTGTTATGAGCTGGTTCCTGTAGGTCATCTGAAAAATTTGTTAAGATAATTAAATGGGGACCCCTTAGGCTTGCAGAAACTGCTGGACAAGACTCCCCTTGGTGAATAAAGGAGCAGCTACTTGGAAACATTTATTCCAGTCTTTATTCACTAATGGGACCTCAATTAATTTCTATAGCTTTATGGCAGTGACACTCCAACAAACTGCTAAACATGTTACTGTGATGTGTTTGCATTGGTTAGCATCAAAAGGTTAAGTTTTCTGTGGGTACAACAATAATGTTTTACTAAAAGAAGGTCTTAGTGTAAAACTAAATTAAGAGGGCTGGGGACATAGGTAGCACAGCACCTTCCTGGCAAGCGCAAGGTCCTGAGTTCTATCCTCAGTATCCGGCCAAAATAAAAACTAAAGACAGAAAGGTTTTCATATAGGTGTGAAACTCATTATTGCTCATTTCATGGTGTTGTAAATATATTCATGACTTCTGGGTGTACAAGTCTCCTAAGATGTAAAAGCAGGATTGTTTACGGTAATAACCTTTTCTTTTAGACTCAGATATCTGCCTTTCTCTTGTGCGCTAGCTACTTATGATAATGGGTACATGTCAAGCCAGCATGAGAACACCATTGAAATGACAGGTTTTTAAAAAAAACTTATGTGATATATAAGTTATATATGTGTTACTACACTGACAGATGCAGGCACTAAGCAGTCCAGACAATGTTACATGCTTCTTCGATGACATCCTATTAGAGGATGAGAGTGTCCTTGTATACTAGATGGAAATGATTGACTAAAAAGGCTATTCTACACTAAGACATTTAAACGTGTTTCAAAGATAATATGATTTCATACTGAAATACTATAGCTCTTAATCTCAAGTTTTCTCTATAGACTATGCAATTGTTGTCTGTTAACCTTCTACAGGGATGCTATTACTAAAAAAATCATGACTGGTAAGAAATAACAGTCCTCTGGCTATACTTCTATTTCAAAGTATTTGATATTCAGATGAAATTATAATAGTTAAGCTCACTGCTCCCTGTGCAACACTGATATAACTGATCATCTCTTCTGGGTGTTCAACAACTGAAGTTCGGAGACTAAAACTAGAAAGGTAACTGGGCTAAGAAGGCAGCCAATATTTTGGCCTTGGCTCTCCAAGATCAACAAGGTCCCAGACATGAGGGAACCTTTTCTACAGGATCCTACAGTTGAGTCACTCAACCTCCTGAGCAGTGTGATTGCTGCACCCCAGAGGACAGGAATCAACAAGCGTACAGTGTGCCAAAAGAGAGTCACCAAGAGGGAAAAGTCTTCTATGCTTTCAAAGAAAGCCACATGGTCAAGCAAGACTGTGTCCCATCCTGGCAGCTGACACTGACAGATGAGCTGAGAGGCTATGTATATGGTTCCAAAAGTAATCCCTGAGGAGACTTAATTGACCTTGACAGATAGAAAGAGGTTAATTTTTTTTTGAGGGGGAGTGACAAGGTCGTGCTATGTAGTTCAGGCTGGCTTTGAACTCACAACATAGCCCAAGCTGGCCTTGAACTCGCAGCGATCCTCCTGTCTCAGCCTCCCCAGTGCTAGGATTACAGGTGTGCACCACCACACCTGGCTGCAAGGGGTTAATTCTGATTAACAGGTCTCGCTTTAACTTGGTCTTAACACCCAGCAGAAAAGTATAAGCAAAAGATATACAAAAACAATACCATAGTAATAAAAGCTAAGACATAAAAGGGGCTCCAATCGCTGACCCCTTCTGGCAGTTTCCAGGTATACCAGTAGCTGACAACTATTATGCTTCATTAAGGCAGAAAATACTACAGCGGAGTCTATAAAAGCTCAACAAGAGTCTTTAAATTTCTTTTCTCCATCTTACAGCTAAAACTAGAGTGACTTATGACAAGAAGTACCAGACTTATAGATAACCTCCATCAGCAGAGAGGCCTAAGAGCCAAATGGGTAAAATCGCTATACTAGTCCCTGAAGAGCAGTTTCTGGATGTGGCTCTTTCCCCAAACTGCCTTTGCATTCTAGTGCTCATGCTTTGATTATACATGCTTTAATTTCTTGGGAAATTTGTTTATTCTTGCCTAGAGGCTGCTAAACTCCAAGTGATCATGCAGATGGAACCAACAACAAATGTGCCAGACTCCTTTTACTGGGATCCATTAGAATGACCTTGTACAGGGAGTTCATAACAGCTAAACTGCAACATGACTTCTAGCCAAGGCCCATTAGATTAGCTCTCTGGAGAAGGCCCCTGGCTGCAGTCACCCTTACACTGACCCTTCTCAGCTTTAAGCAGCTAGATGGAAATTCTGCCCTTTCTCCCCTAATCAAAGTTAGGGATAGCTTTTTGCTTTTGGGGGGTACATATAATAGACAGCTAAATTAGGCAGAATTCTTTTTTGAGATGGGCTATGTATCACTATGTAGTTCAGGCTAGTTTTGAATTCACTATGTAGCCCAGGCTGGCCTGGACTCATGGCAATCCTCCTGCCTCAGCCTCCTGAGTGCTGAGATTATAGGTATGCACCACCACACCTGGCAAGGTAGAAATATTATAGGCAGTCCAACAGGGGTCAGTGCAGAAGATGAGAACACATCCAAACTGTGGCTGGAGTTGCATCTGAAGAATATTAAAGTCATAATGCCTAGATCCACATACTTCTCTAAGGGATAAATTTTGAGATTATTGGTACCACCTTCTGAGATTTCCCATTGTTAATAAACCATCCCATTAGGGGTGGATCATCCTCTCCCACCCACTAAGACAACTAAGACTAAGACTAAAACTAAAGACTATTGACCAAGGTTAATGATGCTGTCCACATTGCCTGCTACTATGGAACCAGTATGGCCTACATGTAGGGACTTGTTGGTTTCTTGGTGCACTCCAGGCAGGAAAAGCAGCAGGAATGAGGAAAAGACAGACAAGAGACAAGAGCTGTGTCAGGTGGAGCTCTTTACTGGATGGGTAAGAGGACCTCAACAACATGAGGGGTGTTTATACCTTTGCAAAGTTAGTGTCACGAGACACAAGGTTGCTTGGTGACTAATGACTGCTTTAGGCACTCTGGCTCTGTCCTGCCCTCATATATGACCAATTTCCAGCTCCAGCCACTCCCAACATCTAAGTGACTATACTTGTAATCTTATTAGTTGATCAAAATTTTGCCCCTGCATTGTGCCTACCTTGTGACTTTGCTCTATAAAGCTTTCTTTGAGAAGTGGGCTCATTTGCAACCCATTTGGGACCTCTCCTGTCCCTCAGAGCTATTCCTATTCCCTATTCCTTTTCCCCAATAAATTTTCCTACTCTTAAAAAAAAAATAAACAATCTTCTTTTAGATTCACAAGTCTGGGATGACTCTGTAACCTCTATCTATGATAAGATGCTCACAATCACCTTCAGAACTGGCTACTTTTCAAGACTAATGAACTACCCTAGTGCCCATCTGCCCAAGATTTCGGTAACATCCCCACGAAAGATGTTACAGAATCCTCTGGGCAGTGCCAGGCAAGCTGGACAGAAGCATGAGTTGTCCATTCTCCAACATGCCAGCTTATTGCTAGTAACACTTCTCTTCTCCCATCACCCTGTCTCTCTAGTTATTAGTTCTCTCAAGTGGCAGCAGAACTGGACTTTTCATGGCTTCATTAACCATCACCTCCTTGGGGACCCGTTCCCTGACTCCCAGGCTCAGTCAGGTTACAGGGTCTATGTACACTACTCTTTCCTATACATCCAGCTTAGCTATCATTTCTATTCCTTTAACTTTTGTATTTGCATCTCTCTCTCACCGGACTGTAACTCCATGAGGGCAAAGATCTTGTATTTTGCTTTTTCACCATTGCATCTTTGGCTTCGTTAACATGTACCTTGCAGTACTACAAGTGGTAGCCAAATACACACTGAAGTGACTGTATGCATGCTTGAAATCGTAAGAAACCTGCAACTCTAAGCAGCTGAAATATATAGCTCTAAAACTGCCAAATGAGAGTCAAAGATTGCTAGCTGGTTAGGAAATGGACAGTTTCTTGGAAGAGGGAGCAGAAGCTGCAATGTATTCTAGAAGGGAACAGAAGGAATAGGACTGACATCCATCCATCCACCCTACTATCTGATAGCTTCACTGTGGCTCTGCCCTGGATCCTGTGGGTTGTCAATGGAAGCCAACCACAGAAATGCAATCCCCCTACCTCTTTTTTTTCTTTAAAATGTACTTTAAAAAACAAGAATATCTCACTAATCTATTTTGAATTAGCAAGGTATGCCTGAATCCTTGCAACTTAAGAAACTGGTGATATTCTAACTTAACAGAGGCACAGTGGGCTTTATGGGTCAGGGCCAATCCTGGCTGTCCACATCCTTAATGTTTCCTTTCTAGAAAGAGCATTCAGGAAATGTATCGGGAAAAGACAAAAAAAAAGAAAAACTTACGGGGATACAAAATCCTTCTGCATGAGGAATGCTGAAATTCCACACAGGTACCACAAGATATTATGCATGCTCCAATCGAGCAAAATGTCCATTACCACAAACATGGACTGCTTCCAGAAACTACCATAGCGAGGTTTTCCATCTCCTGTATGGCTCAGGCTCCAAGGTCTATGAGTTAGAGCTGTTATGATATCCTGATCTGTTTGTCTCATCTGAAAAGAAATTTTGGAAAATAAAATAATTACTACAGCTTTAGTCTAAAATTTTTCATTAGTTTAGATTCAGCCAGTGTGCTCATTCTGACGAAGCGATCATGGTACCCCAGCCCATGTCTACTAGTGAGTCCTTTATCATAAACCCTTTGGGGAAAGATACAATGGACATAAAGTGTTTAATATGCACGACACATAAGAACACTTTTTTCACAATTCTAAAAGAATTGCTATTCCTTTAAAATTAGAAAATCAGCCGGGTGTGGTGGCGCATGCCTGTAATCTCATCCAGCACTTAGGAGGCTGAGGCAGAAGGATTGTTGCAAGTTCGAGACCAGCCTGGGCTACAAAGTGAGCTCAGTTGAACTGCCTGAACTGCAGAGCAAGACCCTATCTCAAAAAATAAAATTAAATTAAATTAAATTTAAAAATTCTCTGAGTTGGTCAAATTATAATGCCACAAAAATAATTTTTTCTTCTTTTTTTTGTCTTTTTGAGACAAGGTCTCGCTATGCAATTCAGGCTGGCCTTGAGCTCACTTTGTAGCCCAGGCTGGTTTCAAACTCACAAGGATCCTCCTGCTTCAGCCTCTCAAGTGCTGGGATTACAGGTGTGCACCACCACACCTGGCAAGAATAAACTTTTAATTGGACACTGATTTAAATTCTGGCCAGAGGTAATTAGAACTGAATGAGAATGGAATCCTGATTGTTTCAAATGTACTGGAATAGCTTTGATCCTTTCCAGGGCAAAGGCTGAAAAGAGTCAGGGCTGGAGAGAGTGTAGAGAAATGAGAAGGAAATGAGAAGGGACTGTGAGCAGAGATGGGGAGAAGGTGAAGTAGGAATGAAGCGATGTGGGTGAGCTCCTCCAGTCCATGTTCTCCCCCTCCTCTGGAAAATGTCAGACATTTTAAAGGCCTTGTGGTCAATTAAGTTTCAGTGTCTGGAAGCCCCATGGCCCTATATGTCCCAAGGATAGCTTGTACTCAGATAGGCTCTTCTCTTACTGTAACATTTTAGATGTATGCTCTCTTGGTCACTGTGGAAGAATGCTATAAAATCAACTCATTATTTTGGAAGTTGGCAAATAAAGAGGAAAACCAGGTATTTATCCAGCCTCTTGGGTAACCAAATAGATAGATTCTAGCTAATACAGTAAGAAGAAATAACAATTAAAATACCAACAGTTTGCAAAATTTCTAAATTCACCAATCTGGCCACAGAGCATCAATAACAGCTGACAACAACCAGAGTCAACCAGATGTTATGTGCCTCCTGATGAAAAACACCCTCATTATGACATTATCTTACCAGGAAAAATCAATCCTAATCTCATTAAGCCCCTACCTTTCACCAGCAACTTACAGGAAATAAAGAGGATGAGAATGTAAAAAATTACATCATGGTATAATGTTGGGAGCGACTGAAGCTGGAAAGTAGTTACACATGCACACAGGATGAAACCCAGAACACGGGAGCTCCTCGAAGCACGTAAACAAGCCATTGTAGCTTGTTAACCGATTGCTGGACAGTGCGGCTGAAGTTAATCAACATCTGGAGGGTATAAATAAACGCTCTACTGTTCTTGGGCAGTTCCCCTTCTCTGCTCTGGAGAGGGAGGACCTCCAGCTGATCCTGGCTTTTTGTCTCTTGTTTATTTTTTCCTCATTCTCGCAGCCTGTTCCTTCCTGGGGTATAGCAAGAACCCAGTGGATCTGTACAGTATAATTAGCAAATTCAAATACGGATAAACACTACAAAACAAATAATCTTGTTTCTCCAATAAATACAGCAGAAAGGAAAGGGGGAGGAAAGGGAGAGAACTTAATAGATTTTTAAAATTTAAAACTGTACTTCATACATCTTATGAGTCTTGTTCAAACAAACCATTAAAAAAACAAGAACCATGCTATTTCTGAGACTAGTGAAAATTCATACAATGACTGATATTTGATTGTATTAAGGGCCTATTGTTTGGATGGATAATGGCATTGTAGCTACATTTTAAAAAGCATTTTTTTAAAGATACTTCATGCAATGGCCGGGCGTGGTGGTACACTCCTGTAATCCCAGCACTTGGGAGGCTGAGGCAGGAGGATTGTTGCGAGTTCCAGGCCAGCCTGGGCTACAAAGTGAGCTCAAGGCCAGCCTGAACTGCATAGGGAGACCCTGTCTCAAAAAGACCAAAAAAAAAGGTATTTAATGCAGTTTTTATGGATGGAGTAATAAGCTTTGCTTAAATATAGCCTTAGGGAAGATCAATGGGGATATGGACAAAACAAACTGGATCATAGGTAATGGGGGAGTTCATTGTATTATTATTACTATTATTATTTTATTTTATAGGTACAGTCTTGCTAAGTAGCCCAGGCAGGCCTCTGGCCCCAGCATCCTTAGTGCTGGGATTAGTAATGTGCTACCACAACTGGCTTATATCATATGCTCCATAATTAAGAGTTCTTTTCTGGGGCCAGGGATATAGCTTAGTGGCAGAGTGCCTGCCTGGCAAGGGTGAGGTTGTAAATTCGATTCCTGGTACCAAAAAAGAAGTTTTTTCTAAGGAATGCTTTGAGAAGTAGGGCTACATAATTCTTTTCTCTTCTGAGAATGTTTACTACCAAAGTAATCTAAATGGGCCTGATGAAAACCACTATGAAGCAGTTCTGAGCAGGACTTAAATTAACCAATTGGCTTTCCATGTTTACTTGTCAGTCTGTCCAAAGCCTAGGCCACTTGTCCAGAGATGGACGGTGGACTCATAGTAAGTGAACCTCTGTAAGTCACTGGTCCCTACTGAGGCCTGTAATGAAGCTTCAAAGGATAAGGCAAGGTCACAGCTCAAGACACCTGGCTCCAACCTCAACTAGATAAAGACTAGTCTCATGCTGGGTGTGGTGGTACACTCCTGTAATCCTAGTACTGGGGAGGCTGAGGCAGGAGGATTGGCACAAGTTCAAGACCAGCCTGGGATACAAAGTGAGCACAAGGCCAACCTTAACTGCACAGTGTGACCCTGTCTCAAAAAGACCAAAAAAAAAAAAAAAAAAGCTGCCAGGTGTGATGGCACATGCCTGTAATCCCAGCACTTGCGGGGGGTGTGGTGCTGGGCAGGAGGACAGGCTGGAGTTTAAGCCCAGCTTGGGCTATAAAGTGAGCTCAAAGCCAGCCTGAACTGCAAAGACAAAAAAAAAAACAAACAAAAATAAAAGACTAGCCTCAGGTATCTCACTCCTGGGTGGAGACTTTCCTTGAGTTAACTTAGCTCTTCTAAATTAACATAATACCTTACCTGGAGAAGTCCTTGAGCATTACCCTCCCTTGTTCTGATAACTAAATAAATATGGGCTACCCAGAGAAGGCTTTGATCTTAGCCCCCAGAGAATCTCAAGTTCTGTGAGAGGGTTTTGATCCTCCTAGAGCCCTGAAATCATACCATTTGTCTCTTCTATTTAGCCTTCGCCTTCCATTCATTTGGGAGACTGTAGACCTGATCAGCCCACAATAACTAACTAACGGACGATATTAACCCCAGATGGGCCTATAAACAACATGAGGGACTAAAGAGAAAACATCCTCCCCCCACTGAACTTGGCCTTATGCACGCTAGGCAAATGTTCTACCACTGAGTGACAACTCTAGCTTCACCATGGCATTTATAAATGGGGTTGAGAACACTTCCCTTCAAGATTTCTCTTCTTGATTTGTTTTTGGTACTGGGAATTAAACTCAGGACCTTGTGTTTGCCAGGCAGGCACTTGTGCCACTGAGCTGTATCCCTAGCCCTTCTCTTGTTAATTTTAACATAAGTTCTTCACTGTGATCTTGATTCAGTTCAATTTAAAAGGCATCTACCTTATGCTTACATAGTCTGTTACTATTATGTCCCCTAACTAACCTACTACTGTGTACAAGAAATATCTTGAATTTTACCTTATAGATAACTTCTGGCAAGAATGAACAGACCATACTATTATTGTACAGTTGTGGAAATTCCATATATATCTTCTTTAGAGCATCAGTTGCCTGTAAAACAAACTCATATTATTTAAAATCTACTACCCAGGAACTATTGTGTATTAAGCACAACCATACCAAATAAGTCAGAAGTTTACTAATACTGCCTATAGAGATGCTCAAAGTGCACACAGCACTGATCGTCCACATGAGCAAACAAGAGAGCAGCCAGGGAGCAATTCAACATCTTCCTGAAGGCTCATGCCTTTGGAAGGTGGCACGCTATAGGCCAGAGAAAACAGGAGGCAACATTTTGTAATCCTTCTCTTATATTCTGATTTAACCACTAGGAAGTCTTCTTATGGCCAGAACTCATCACCCTCTGCCTTTCCTAGATGAAATCCAAGCTACCCAGCAGGGGTACTACAAGGGAAGCTCTGCTCAGCACAGGGAACTTAGAGCACCCACTGTCCATCACCATCATGGAGGGAGATGCAATGGGATGGGGGTGCTGGGAAGAGTGTGAAGTCTCCAAATTCTTCCTAAAAGAAACAGAAGTTTCTTTTGGTAGTAGTCTAGCTAACAAATGAGGAAGAGATGATAGATTTAAACACTAACATCATGTAACCCCTACTGAATTAACAGCAATAGTAGCTGACACAAGAGATGCCCAGAGATTGTGTGTATCACAGCTCTGGAAGTACTGCTCATTTCTGGCAAGTGACATATACCTACAATCAAATATAAGCAACAAAATGCACTTCTCCCCAAATAAGACAGAACATATAAATTAATCATAGCATGCTTCGCCTTCACTAATATAACTTAGTGAGGTAGAGGATCAAAGTTGTTTTCTTGATGTTTGAACTAACACGTGTATTACATGTAACTCTCCTATTTATATGGTAGTTTCTTTCATTAGCTTCATTTTGTCCATTAGAGGACTGGAGCATGTCAAGGTTGAAATTCCTCTGCAGAATAGTCAGTCAAAGTCTGCTGGACTCCAAAGGTCATGATACTGGCTATTGGGCTCCATTAGCTCAATTTTTTGCCTACATTTACCCTCTGTATTAACATCTCGGTGAATTAGATTGCTATGTTCTAACTAATCTTGGCTAAACATCTGGTAAAGGCCCATTCAGAAAACTCAAATAACCTTCAATTTTTCTTCTTAAACCGCCCCCCTCTTCCTGATTCTACAGTAAGAGAAAAGCATGACAATCACTACAATGGTTAAAATGTAAGAACTACAAGGGTTCCCAAACATGGCCAGCAGCAGGAGCAAAGCTGTAGGCTCATTAAGAACACATGCTTCTTGGAGATTGTAGCCCAGCAGTACAGCGTGTATGTATGGCCCATGAACCCTTATTTTAAAATGTTTCCAGGCGATTCTGATGGAAATCAACGGGAAAACCTAGACACATACAAATGTAAGTTTAATAGAAGAAGTTGGGGCTGGGGATTTAGCTCAGCGGCAAAGTGCCTGCCTAGCAAGTGCAAGGTTGTGAGTTTGGTTCCCGGTACCGGAGAAAAACCAAAAAAAAAAA